TTGAAATTAATCTTTGTGTCAACCCCCACATACCCGTGAATTATATTTTAATATATTTTTATATATATTATATCTCTTGACTTTTATTATTATGTACTTAGTAATACGAAAAACATTTAAAAACTTCAACAGCTGTATGGTCAGCCAAAAACTCATTTAACTAAAACAAAATAATATAAAATAAAAAATAAAAATATTAAAATAATTAAAATAATATAAAAAAATTTTGTTGTTGTGGTTTACTACTTTTCGAAAGCTCTTTTAATAAATAATATTTTTATAAACAAAACGTAGAAACATGATTTATAAAATAAGCTAATTAATTATAAGATAATAAAATTTAAAAAAATATTAAAATAATGACCATAATATTTATTAGATATTCACTAAATAATATAAGATAATTCCTACTTTCTAAAAATGATCAGCAATTACAGTGTACATAATTTAATAACTTGAAATTGAAGTTATTTTGATTAAATTACAATTAGTTTATAAATCACGAGAGATTATAAACTCTTCTTAAAAATTAAAACTCTTTATTCTGTTTGTTAATTAATCTGTCGTAGACATGTCTACGGCGAATCAGCAACCAAAACTTAACTGTTTAAACTGTTAAATTAAGTTTACTTTGATATTATCGATCTTAAATACTCAACAATATGTTAGATTAATTTATAAAGTACTAAAACACTTCCTTTAATAAACTAATTACTAGTGAGATAACAGTCAATGTTGGTGTAAGTAATTGAATAATTTTATATTTCCAAATTATGTATTAAAGTGTCTCGTATCTAAACTATACTGGTTTCATTTACTATGGGGTTATATATGCAAAATTCAAGGGGTTAAGGAGTTTATTACAGGAAGTTACCTTTTAGAAAGTCTTAGTCAGTTGCTAGATTTCATCTTTGAAACTATCGTTAGCTTTATTAAGAATTCTAGATAGTTTAGAATTTATCAAACTTCCTACGATAGCGCTATAAATCAATAGACTAAAGTCGTCGTTAGAACTAAGAACGTCGTTAGAACATTAATCCTGACCCTTCGAAATTGATATATGTCGGCTGGGAAGTTTAGAAGCATACGTCGTTGTTTTCTAAAATTGTACTATCACATTATTATTCATGCCAAACTTGTGAAACTGTCTTCTACTGATATAAAACTTGACCACACAATACATCACTATTTCTTTCGTCAGTAGCTAAACACTAGCGAAAGAAATGCGCTATACCATATATAGATCTATTAAATTTTTGTTTAAAAAAAAAGCAAACTCTGAATATTTTTTTCCAGATAACACTATAGATTGTGGTCCATTGCTTACTGGACTTTGCATTAACATTTTTAATTTTAATATAGAAAATCGGGTCCTTGATTAGCCCATTCACGTAGTAAGTTTTTCTGTTGCTCCATATTATCGCCCATATCTTGTGTCATCCGAAACTGTATCAAAATAAGAAGATAGTTAAAAACCACTGATGTAACCTAGAATCACAAAAATAATATTACATTATTATATTATTAAATAATATTATATGAAACATTTTTGATATCAAATTTGTTACCGTTGTTATGATAGTACGCCGTATGGTCAGATTAAAACCGCAATTGAATTCGACATTATTGTCCAAACGCCACATCATAAGTGTTTCAACCAAATTTCGTATTTTTACACTTTTAGGATACCAGGAGTTTAATTGCTCTATGAGACGTACACATTTTGTACTCTTTGTTGCAAATTTAAAGAAAAAATAAAAAAAATATATTTAATATTATAGAATATATAGCATTATATATAATATATATAAACAAGCTAAACCGTGCTTATAAATATGATGCCCATGGGCAAAATTTTAAACAATTAAAAACTTCAAAAGATTTTAAATGTACTAAGTATATGTACTTTAAACATATTATCAATTAAAATTATACATATACCCATATATTTTTTATTATATATTATGAAATATCCATGGGCTTACAAGTGTGTTTATTCAGTCGTATAAATTATTCAAGAAACATCACAAGAAAATGTTTACCTCTTTTATTGTTTCCTCACAATAAATGGGCGCCATTATCATCTTGTAGAGTGGAGGTAGCATCACCATGACCACATAACTGAGTAAATAATAACTAGTATTTTGACCGGCAATAGTTCTTCCAAACACCATATATAATTCACTCGTTGTCAACATGAAGTCATGTGCCAAAGTAAAAAGTAATGATAATGTGTACACTCTATTTATCTCACGTATTATTTGTTGTAGCTCTTTCCATATCTCCACTGCTCTTTGTAAGCGTAACTCTCGTAAATTGCTTTCCGGAAACTTGTAATCTATAAACTCTCTATTCAAAATCTTCTGTAATAACCGACAGCGAATTTTGATAATTTCGGCTAAATTCATATGAGCATAACCATTAAAATTAATGCTACCAGTTATTAAACAATAACACATAGCACCCATAAACATTAGTATAAAATCATTATTGGATAGTTGAAGTGTTGCCCATAGAACTGCTCCTAAGTACACAATGGAAGATAATGTCATCACCACTATAACTTTTCTCAGTAGTTTGTGATAATTCATATTGGCACCAAACTCTTTAATAAAATATTCATCAATTGTCTGTAGCCGTTCGTATATATGTAAATGTCTCTTACTGTGATACTGTAGGGAAAATACTGAGATAAAAAAAACTAAAGACGACATAAAGATTTCCGAAAATATTATGGATAGCAATAAACTATCGAGACTGAAAGTACGCTCCTTTTGATAGGGATCTGTTAGTTTATTGTAAATAGTGTAAGCAGCGCCAAGCACGTAAACTATAGGCGCGACAAATGTGTAGATTCGACTGCCTTTGGTCATTATGTAACGACCGTTACGCCTCCAAAATCCGTTACAGCACAAGAAGAACTGGAGAGAGCAGATGAAAATCGTACAATCGTAAATTGTTTTTGGTTTAATAAAAATGTGAAGCACCGCCATTTCGAGTTCACCTCACGACTGCTACTGTTGGATTTTGAAAAATTGTTGGTTCAGTTTGGTTACTAATCTTAGTTGTAATTTTAATTAAGTAATTGTGATTTATGAAGTGCCCCGAAGTAATTAACTAATAGTTGAGTAATTAACTTGCAATTAATCAGAGTTATGGATAAGGAACAAAACTTATGAATAGTACGCCATATGCATTCATGTACTTGACTGCCAATTATATTATATTTTTTTTGCTTTATTTCATTTAAGGAAAAATAATATTTATTTGAATTTATTGTAGTTTATTTTAGTTATAGTTATTTAATTTCTTTTAATTGTTAGTTTATGTGAAAAATAATTCAACTGTACCCAGTAAACCGAACCAATAGCTAACGAATTAGAAGCTAACATTATTCACAAAAAATATGTTTAGCAGATATATAATTAGTTTATACTTTCGTTCCCAAAGTGAGAATTGGTACTTCAATTCGTAAACAAAATAACGTTATTGAATAACTCATCGTAATAACTCATCTGAACACGTTTTCAAATCATTCTGAACTCGTTATTAACTGGTTCTCAAGTTAATTCGTTCTTAACTCGTTATAAACTTGTTCTCAAACCATATAGTTTTCAACTCGTTATTTGCTCAACGACGAAAATAAAAGATCTTTTAAATTACCTAAACTCGGCGGGATGAATTTAGTCTCTACTCTTCTATACTTAGGTTCTTGCGAGGAATGTGGTTGCAAAACGACGAAAAATCGCTAATTGAGGTACATAGAAGTTATCTAATGGCCTGCCACGGCAACCAATCAACCAACTTGGTTTCAGGTTAAGTCGTTCTCAACTCATTTTTAACTTGTTCTTAACTCGCTCTCAACTCGTTCTCAGCTTGTTGTTAATTCATTCTCAACTCGTGTTTAACTTGTTTCTACTCGTTCTTAATTTGTTCTTAACTCGTTCTTAATTTGTTCTCAACTCGTTCCTACTTGTTCTTAATTCGTTCTCAATTCTTTCTTCACTTATTTTAAACTCATTGGCTAAAGTCTAAACTCATTTTTAATTTATTCTGTACTAGATACTAACTTAACGTTGACGGTAGCGGTCATCCGTTTATCAACTCGTTTTCATATTAGTCATTTTCAACTAATTCTAAAGCTGATAATGATATTGATATTCATTATTTGCTCAATCCTCTATCTTCTGTTTTTGGTCTTTATCTTACTATCTTTAAATTAATGTATTCGTTGATATTTAACATTGGGTTTCCAATAGATCATCTTTTAACATGCTTTATTTTCAGGACGTGTTTGGGTATTATCGACAATAGCATTCCACTTACATAAGTACCTTAGTAGTCGACTAAGTTCACTTTTTTTGTTAGTTTTTTATTTTGTTTCGTTTAGTTCTTCTGAAAATTCTTATGAAACCTTTATTTCTGTAGCTGTTATTTTATTAACCTTTTCTGATCTATATAGAAGTATTAGTTTGACGACTGCTTTTAATATAAAGTTATGTATGCTTTTGCTTTGCTTTTGTGAAGATAATAGTTGTTTAACATGGTTAATTGCCTTAAAGGTTCAACACCACGGTGCTCTACAAACACTGGTATCAAGATAATTCGCCGATATATGCCCAAGATGAGTTCCAAGTAATTTTTACGATACTTCAGCTGATCATTGGGTTTCAAGAAATTTCTACTGTTGGCAAGTAAAGTTATGTGTTTGGCAAAACTTGCCCCTTGATAAGGAGCAAGGACTACCGATACTTCAGCTGATCATTGGGCCACACTATCCGGTGCGAATACGCAGCTCCACGTGGAATGATAGTAAAATACAATTATTCTTCCCGTGTAAGTTTGGATCGTTGTAGCTTAGACAGTTGCTTAGTTTTTGTATTGATACGAGCTTATTTTGTTAGACATCTGCATTATGATTAAGTTTTTAGTTGTTCATTAACATATCCAATGGATGATAACTCAGACCTTTACCTTATTATTTTTATGACAAAACGTATGTCCTCTTTACCTACAGTTTCTTTTATTTGGATTTCGTGGCTATTTTTATTAGCTTTAATGAAATTTTATATATGTATATAATGTATATTATTTACATACATTTTGTTATTTACATTATTATATGTATATCATGAAATAGTGTACTACCTCTGCACACTATTTTCAGTACTCGTACACTCGTACCTATACCCTCGTTATGCGAGCAAGTAATTATGTTTGCTTCAATCGGTGAGTGGGAGAGGCTTATGTGGGTTGGATTTTTAAATTTCATTATAAACAGAATTTGTATATAAACTGGAAAAGTCAATCTAAAAGTCAATTTGAGAAATTAATTTGAAATGCTTGTGACATTGGCGGTTTAGTTTGATTGAATTTACTGTTAACTGCCTTTATTAGTGGCAGCATAAATAAAATTTAATTGAAATGAAATTAAACCAAATGGAAAATGGAAATAAAATCAAATAAAAATCAATCTGAAAAAAAAAACAAAAAAAAATGAATTAAAATGTAACAGAAAAACTAAAGCAGGAAGAAAACAGAAGAGCAAATTGGCTTAGGCAAGACCGATGGTAATAATCATGCAACACCGGAAGTAACAGCAGGAACAGCCAACTGCTAAGTTGGCAGCAGTGCGCAAATAACAGTTCGTTTCCTACACGTTTGGGTTAAAAGTGGGTTGAAAGTGAGTCCACCATATATTGTATGTGTTCGCAGTGAAAATTTATTTACAGCAATTAGAAATGAACTGATTCTAATTTGACAACAGCAGGCGGTCGATTATGTGAGGCAATAATTAAAATTGGAATGTAATGTACCATTAAATAAGTCTAGTAGTTATGGACATTGGTTTGGTGAACCATACAAATGTGTATGGAATACACGTAAAATGGAGGTTGGGGTTCTATTTTCCAGGCAACATACTTTATAAGGACGGACTTCCTCCTGAAAGTACGAAAATTAATTTTCAATTATATTTAATATACAAGAAACAATAAAAATGAATTTATTGTCATACAAACTCATTCATTCTATAGCAACTGACTAACGCTTAGTTTTAAGTTAGCTTGACTTATACCTACTAATTTCACATGTACTTAACAGGTTAATCACCACTTTGTGGCATTAGTTCCTGTGTGAATGCATTTTCCACAATCACTGCACTAAAGCGCAGCTGCAATTGACATTTGCACAAAATTTTGAGCTCATAATTGACATAACTTTATAATGTTAACAAGATTGCAGTGGCATAGCCTGTCTGCACGGTTCATATTCTTTAATATTTTCCTCATTTGACAGTAAATTGAATAAGCTTCTTATGAGGTTGCCACACTTATTACACATACTCGTATTTAAGACAGAACTTGATGTGCTCACATATATTGGTGTGTTTAGCTGCTGTCATACAGATTTGCACATATGCGCTGCTACTTTGTTTGTTTGTTTGTAATCCAGATACAAATTTGTTTCTGAAGCGGTGGTAATGCCACCCAGCATGCGATATTTTGTAAGTAATACAAAACCAATGTTGCTTTCCTGTCATTTTCATGGCTTGTAAGTGCCACATGCTATTCTGTTCTCATATATTTTAGTTCTTCAAGGCTTGACATTTGATGTCACTGCCAGGTAGGCAATCTAATTAAGTGAAATGTATTTTCATATAAAATAATTTTGTTCTTGTCTTTGTTCTTGTGAATAAATAGTAAAACTAAAGCTTTTGTTCATAAATAAGAGAAATTTGCGTAATCATAAAATTTCACTATATCATATTAAGATTATTATAGCTTCGGACAGGCTTAAAATAGAGATTTCTTGCCAATAAAAGATCTACAATTTTGACTCTTATATATATTCCACTATACACAGTCTGTCCCAGATCCAATGAGACTAATTTCAAAAAAATTATAATTATTTTACGAAGTTGACGTTTTGGTCAAAAGTTTTTTATTTTATAATAATCTATTACTCAGAGTCTGTCCAAATCTAATGAGACTAATATCAATTAATATTTAAAGCACTTTCCAATGCTGATGTCGCGATAAAAAGTTCTTATGTATATCATTATGTTCAGTCTGTTACAAGTTCGATTGTGCTAATCTCAATAAAAACACAAAGTTTTATTATTTTGATATTTAAATTTTGATTATTAAATTAGCCACAGTTTCCCATCGTGTAGTCTTCTATCAACTCAACATAGTCTTCTATCGACTCAACATAGTCTTCTATCGACTCAACACAGCCTCCTATCGACTCAACACAGTCTCCTATCGACTCAACACAGTCTCTTATCGGCTCAACACAGTCTCCGATCGATTTAACACAGCTTTATATGGAATCAACACAGCACTGCAAAAGCTCAACAAGTTTTTCGAAACATTTATTACATTCATCGGCTGGAAATGTCGTTAGTACCACAAACGAAGCCTTTTTAATGTATGGGACAGTTTGGATACGGATTCTTTTTTTCGGTAAAATTTAATTAAAGCAATAATTTGGAATTGCATGACCTCTAATCAGATCTTTTTGGTTAAGAACTTACATGTAATGATGGATTTCTACGATGGTGCATAATGGTGCAACAGAACTCAATAGTCTTGCCTTCGATATTCTGCTCGAACTGGTCGAAATCCGTACCATAATCATTATAGAACACACACATAGTGTTTTGTGATCATAGTTTGCGTCTGACGTATATTCATAATTCACCCTTTTGACGTGAATTTATAATTCTCCCTTTTGATCACCAGTTATAATAGTTCAGATACTTAACGGATGTCTATTTTTGTAATGCTGGCGAAGGAGAGCTTGCTAGAGAGTTACGAATGTATGGGAACTAGCCACATAGTGTCAGGGTGTAAATCACACTAAAGTCTTGTCTATCAACACTCTTCGAATAATCTTTAAAATAAGTTGAAAATGTATTTAAACTAAGACACATAGGATCTGAGTTCAGTTTGTTTTATTAAGGTTTGGTATTTAACACGCTTTAAAAACT